GGATATAACAGTGAAGAATAACACAGCCTTAAAGAAGAAAGCTTGACTGTCCCTGTTGCAGGAGGGTTGTAAACCTCTGAAACAGGGTTTCGTGATGCACCCTCTGAGCGCCGTAACTGCGACGACGCAGATGCCCCTACGGAATGTGTGCGTTAAAGAGTTCATATCAGCCAGCTCGGTCGGGCTGGTGGCTTAGTTGAGCTGACAGAGCGTGTGTCTACGGTCAGGTTAAGGATTTATGCAGAGTCGTTATTTGCAAGCAGTGTGTTTGATTCCGGTTAATTGGGCTGTGTAAGTCTGAAAAAGAGAGAGTCCGGTTGGAGTTCTGTACTTTGGGTTTCTCGGTACGTTGTGTTTGGCGCGTCCGCGGGCAGGGAGCAGGCTGTGCCCCTCTCACTCACACCCAGCGGCCCCTTTCTCGCTGCGTGGTCCTGCTCGTTTTAACCCCAAGATCTGATCTGTAATTACACGTTGTACAAAATCAGGGAGCGTGTTTTAAAAGAGAAGTAGCTGTGGTTCTGGGAGCGGGCTTTCCTTTGCGTATTTTGGCGTGTATTTGCCATTAGTTGAGGCTGTTGCGTTGTCCTGGCTGGGGAGGTGGTCAGAGCTCCTGCGCAGCTGCTTCGTAAGCTCCTCCTGGAAGAAATGGACACCCTGGCATCGATTTCTTGCGGTAGAGCTCCAGCATTCCCCCGTCAGGTTTACTACCCGGTTGGTAGATGGACTTGGCTGAAATTGTTCCTCTGCCTTTGGAGGTCTGGCGAAGGAAAACCAACCGCCTTCGTGGCGGAGACGCCCGCTGTTGCTTCCTAGGAGCTGTTGGGAGGAATGGAGAGGCCTCTCCTGGAAGCGGGGCGGAGGTTGCGTGTCGCTAGCAAGGTGTGGGGCTGCGGGAGAGGACAGCTTGATAGCTCCTCAGCTGCTCCCCCGTTTCTGCTGCAGCAGGTCTCAAAACCTTGCAATATGCAGCTGAAAGTGGGGCTTGCTGTGCTTGTGACAACCTGGAGATCCGTCAGAGCAGTCCACAGGAATAAGGGTGAAACTTCTGTAAAGTCAGAACATACCAGAATCCTAACAGGCCCTGAGAGTTGGCCACTGGGTGCCTCGTTGCTTTTCCTGGTGCCACGAGGAGGTGAGCTGGGCCTGGAGACCCGGAGCTGAGATGGCAGAGCAGGTTCTGCTCCTCTCTGGCGTGGTGTGGTTGGGTGTCCTGGTCTGTAGCTGAACTTGTCCGACTCCTTTGGCATGCACGTCTGGTCTGATGGATTCGTATGACGATTCCAGGCAACTTTGACCAAGTTGCAGATACCACAGGAACAGCCGTGTGTGTGCTGTGTCTGTTGTTGGTCTCATCCGCGGCTTCAGAGGGATGCAGGGCTGAGCCGTCACCAGCGAGAGCCGTGCGAGGAGCTGTCGTGCTTCAGTTCAGATGCTGGGACACCATTTGGGTTCATTTTCCTTTTGGTGCGCGTGTTCATCCTCCTCCTCTTTCATCACTTCTTCCTCCACAAATATCCAAAGCTTAAAATAATGCGCTTGCCTTTTGCCTGCCAATAGTCTGACACGAAGTAGTTCCTCTTCATAACCACGAATTTATGTTTGGCCTGTTTACTCAGGTGCTAGACAGTATTTCTGGCTGCACAGATGGTGAGTCTAATACAGGCTTCTGGGTTTGACTTTTATGTTTGTTTACATCTTCATGGTACAATAGTTATCCGAAGAGACAAACTGGAAAATTGTGAAGTGCAACCTTGGGCCTCATCCGGAGACGCACGAAGGGCTCGGAAGCTCCCGTGGCGCGGCCCCAGGACCCGGTGGTGGGTAGCCCTGTAGGCACTGTGGGGTTAGGGGTTTACTGGCGTAACCAGTCCATTCGTCTGTTAACCGATACGTCAGAATACTCTTTTGGACCAGTGAAATTTGGGATGCAAAATGCCAGGACTGGGGACACATGGTGCTTTTGGGGCAGCGGCCGTCTCTGCCCTGTGCATGCTCCGTCCTGCATGTCTCAAATCTGTGTTAATACCGAGTTTTTTCCACGTCTGTTCCAATTTTCTAATGTCTATCAGGATGAAGAGGTTAAAAAGGTTGGAGGGAACGGGGAAGCGGTTCCTCTCTGTTAGCTGGGGGAGCTGCCCAGGTGGATGAGTTCAGGTCCATTGACACACCACGCTTGCGTGGTCAGCTCAGCTTTGCTGAGCAAACGCACTGGAAGGTGCCTGGTCTTTGGAGCTGCCCTGCGGAAGGGAGGGCAGCAGAAGGAGTAAAACAAGTCTTAAAATGCTAGGTCTTAATAATAGGGTCAGTTGAGCAGCTTGAAGTCACCCTCTGAGGCTACCTGAACCCTCTAGCCTTCTTCCAGCGATGGTGCTTTCAGTGTCCAGCCCTGAGCTGCATTGCTTCGTGGGTGGCAGTGAGAGGACCAGAGAGACGGCCCTTCCCCAGCACCTCTGCTACCCAGTGCTGCTGTGGCTTCTGCCCGCTGATTTAGAATCATAGAATCACAGAATCATTAAGGTTGGAAAAGACCTCTAAGATCATCAAGTCCAACCGTCAACCCAACACCGCCATGCCTGCTAAAACATGTCCCCAAGTGCCACGTCTACATGTTTTTTGAACCCCTCCAGGGATGGTGACCCCACCACTGTCCTAGGCAGCCTGGTCCAATGTCTGACCACCCTTTCAGTAAAGAAATTTTTCCAAATATCCAATCTGAACCTCCCCTGATGCAACCTGAGGCCATTGCCTCTTGTCCTATCGCTAGTTACTTGGGAGAAGAGACCAACACCCGCCTCACCACAACCTCCTTTCAGGTGGATGTAGAGAGCAAGAAGGTCCCTCCTCAGCCTCCTCTTTTCCAGACTAAATAACCCCAGCTCCCTCAGTTGCTCCTCATCAGACTTGTTCTCCAGACCCTTTCCAAGCCTTGTTGCTCTTCTCTGGACATGCTCCAGCAACAATTTTCTTATTTTTGTCTTCATTTGCAAGGAGTTTCCATTTCTGGATTCTTACTTTTCATTGGGTTTGAGGTTTATCGGTGGAAAGGATCATATGCACGCAAAGTAGCAGTAGTAGTATGCAGCAGCTCTTCTGAGAAGACATCCACTTCTAGCAATTCCTCAGTAACAAACTGTCACGCTGCACTGCTGTACGCTCGGTCGCTTATCTGGTGCCAAATGGCGCTGGTCTGTCTGCAACATAAGGAACAGATAGCGTGAGGTGATGACATGGTAACTGCCATGTGGGAGAGAGCAGTGACAAATGCTGCTCGTTGTGAGCGTCACGGCGATGAAAACAGTTAAACATATCTGGTCTGTATTTTCGAAAGTTCTCCAAATCACACGCTTGAAGTTCGTTTCAAGAGTTCAGGCTTAGAAGGGGAAAATGGGTTATGGGGTCAGAGTTAGATTCTGGTGATGATGTGTTTCTTTACACAGAAATTAATTTGTATCTTTTACCTAAATTGCAGAACGAATAACTGAGGTTTCTAGACAGCATATTTTTTTGGTGGGCCAGATTCTTATCTGGTGTAAAGTCAGCTGGTCCAGCTCACCTGGCTTCACTGGAGTCACAGCATTTCTCTGCTGCTGGCTTTGCCTGCTGTGTTTGAAGAGAATTGCGTATTCGTGGAAGTTGGCTGCGGTGGGAGAGAGTCTTTCAGTACCCTCTGTGTTGTCCAAGTCTTTTTCCTTGAACAAGAAGTTGATTCATTTCAGAACTTCTTGGCAATAGAAGTTTGAAAACTGGAATTTGGGATTGGTGTAGCAATTTTTTTGAGAAGCTTGTTTAAAACTTAAGTAATAGCTTGTGTTCTTTTTAAAGTCATCTCCAACACAAGTCAAGCTACAGGATAGTTCCCCGTCCCACGGAAATCAGCTGGATGACAAGAAAGAGGAAGCAGTAGGGAAAAACTGCTGAATTTTGATGCGTTTTTGTGACTCGTGTGAAGCCACTTAGCCTCACTGGGATGTGCCAGGGAATTCTAGGAAATCTGTCAGTTGCTGTAGAGACAGGTTCCTCAAAACTGCGTTTTTGTTTTTCGTTTTCTTAATGGCTATGTTTATGTACAGCCTCATAACATAATGATCTCATATCAGAATATATAGATGTATTTATATAATGTACATATGTAAAAGTACAGTTATGCAATGTGAGTGTGTGTTCAGTTTATGCAAATCTTTTTTTCATGTATCTAAAAAAACCTCGCTTTTTTTCAGCATGGTGAGATCAGTCCTGCTGGGGAAGTCTACGATTTTCCTGCACGTGTATTTGTTCAGTCATTCCTTGTGCTCTGGGCGCAAGCTTTGTGCCCAGTAAAGATGCTTTTTAAGCATCTGTTTTATTTAGAGCAGTGTCTGTTCCTGGCATGGGTCATCATGGCACCGAAGGTCCTAACATCAGGGAGAAGAGGTGGTTAAACTTGTGCCTGTGGTAGACGAACATTGTGTTTTGTGTTCCTCGGAGAAGTGGCATAATTCAAAATAATGTGAGCCTTCGGAGTTGTGTGGCTTCCTGAGTTCCTGGCAGATCAGCCCCTGCTCTGGGTTCCTGCCCGGGGGCCGTGCCCGAGGGTGAAAGGGTGCTTGCATCTTGGATCAGGGTGAAGGTTCCCTTTGTGATCAGAGCGTGGTAAAACCAAACCCAAAGTCACACACAGGGGAAATAAAGTGCAAAATTTTCTTTTGATGCAAACTGATGAATTTCTTGAAAAGAGATTAAAATATGTTTTATTAATTTGTGCTTTTTTTAGATAATGATGGTTTGCATGGTAGAAATATCTAGAGAAATATCAGATAAAAAGAGAAGACATGAAAAATAGCTTTGTGATGTGTGTTAGCGAAGGCTAACACCGCTAGGGTTAATTATCATCTGATGTTAGATCAAGTTTCCTCAACAAGGCAGAAGAGCCGGTTTAAAAAATGAAGTAGAATATGCGCTTGTGCTGTTTCTTTTTACTTTCACCTTGTTTGAAGACCCCACCACCGCTGGTCTTTTCCCAGGTGCCGCTTACAGAAGCGGTGGACCCGGTTGACTTGGAGGACTACCTTATCGCACACCCCATTGCGGTGGAGTCCGGACCCCTGCGAGACTTGCTGGAGTTTCCCCCTGATGACATCGAGGTGGTGTACACCCCTCGAGAATGTCGGACGCTGGTGTCGGCGGTGCCTGAAGAGAGGTAGGAGGTGACACCTCGCTCCAGGCAATTCATTGCTCTGGATCCGAGCATCCGCAAGGCTGAAGCCTGGAATTTTTGTCTGTGAATGCCTGGGAAGAGTAAATGCAAACCGAAGTGGAAGTATGGATGTTCAGGAGATGGTTAGCATGCCTGTGATTTCAAAGGTGTTTGTTTTTATTCTTTTCACAGTGAGATGGACCCTCATGTGAGGGACTGCGTACGAAGTTACACGGAGGATTGGGCCATCGTGAACAGAAAGTGAGTTCCCCTGTGGTATTTGTCAGCTTGATTTCATATTTAAATTTTTTGCAGGATGGCTGGCTGGTGTGAGGAGGCTCGAAAATTATCTTCCTGGCTACTGATTCCATGTACCCTGGCTGTTAGTTGCCCAGCTCAGCTGAACTGCTGCTTTGTGTTTAGCTGAAATGATGCTTTGTGTTTTGAAAATTAGATCTCAGACGTCGAAACCGCTTGGGGCATTTTTGAAAATTAGGCCATTTTAGTCAACAATTGCTCCTTCAGAATGGTAGAGAAATTAGGGAATGTGAACAAGTAAAATTACTTTCAGCATTTGTTTCTTTCTTTGTTCCATGTGTTTTTAGCTCTTTTTAGAGAGAAGTTGCATTAATTTTGTAACGGTGTAAGATTTATGTGGAGGCACAACCACCTGATAGATAAGATGCCCTCTGCAGCGTTCATTTGTTGCCAAAGAGACTTTGAGACAAAGTACATAATTTAAACAAATAATTGTTAATATTTGGACTATCTCAACATTTACCTTGTGGATTAACAGTGTAGAGACTCTGCGTGCGTTGATTGATCTATGCAGATTAGCAGGAAGGTTTCTGAGTAGCTTTACTTGGAACACACACTCTCTCAGATGATTGAAAGCCTGATGGCTTCAAGAGCTGCTGTCAAGGAGCAAGTGATCCATGTGATGTGCATCACCTACAAACGACTTGACTACAGCTCCAGCTCTGCCCTTGTGGCAGCTGCTACAATTCACTGGTTTAATGTTGTCCTGCGAACCACTTCAGGGGATGCTGAAGATGTGCTTTGCAGTGCTGAGATGACCTAATAAAAATGTGTGTGTGGTTTGTAATCTCGTACCAAAAAAAAAACCCAACCCCAAAAGAAACCCAAGAGAGAGAGAGATGCTTTATTAACTCCCAGCCTTTGTGGGCAGAGTCTAGAAGGCGCAGTCGGCTTGGACAATGTGACCCACCCAGGCAGCACAACTCTCGGTTCCTCAGTGGCTGTCACTGGCGTCTGGAATACCTGGCTGTGATTCCTGCACTGAGGAGGTTTACTTGGAGGCAGTGGAGCTTTCTGTCCTGTGCAGATCAGCTGCAGGTTGCGTTCCGTGTCGGGGGAGGCGTGAAGCTAAAGACTTTGGAGCTGCCCAAGTGGGTTGGAGGAGTGCTGGGTGATTGTCAAAGGTTGTCTGGCCCCTTCAGAGGAGGAGAGGCACTGCTGTAAACGTTCACAGTAGTTTTTACTTAGACAAAATCGTGGCGGTGGACTAGGTAGAAACAGAAGGGTTACTGCTGGAGCAGGGAAGGAGCCAAAAAGCCTGGCTGGGGAGATTTGAATTGTTTTTCGAGTAAGGATGGTAACAGGTTTCTCTTTATCCATCGTATTGGGTGGTTACAAGTGCTTTGGCCAGCTCTGGGGGCACAAAATCCAGCTCTTCTGGCTTTAGAAGGACATGGCTGGTGATGTGCCATCCATCTCTCTCCCCCACCCGAGGGGAAATAAATCTTTATTTCAATCTCTATCTACAGTTCTTTGTAACCATAATGTTTTGGGGGCAGACAAATCCATCCATTTAGTGATTAATGGTATTGGAAAAGGTAAATAAGTTTTCTTCACTGGCCTGAAAAAAACAATAATATTTTCTTATTTCAACCTTATGGTGTGCTTTCTGCATGCTAGACTGATGGTGGCAATGATCACAGACATCTCTGAGGTCGGGTCTGATTTAGAATGAATTTATGCTTGTTGGTGGGGCTTGATCGAAATGCAGACATCCAGGTGAGGATTATACAGATAGTTCAGTTCTCGGGAATTACAGCCTAGCCAGGAAAATGCTTGCCTCGGTTTTCTCCTCCCTTTGCTTATTCACTGCTAGCGCATCCATGGTTTTCTCCTATCTCTGCATCCTGTTGTGGTAACTTCAGTTACAGGGCAGGGTCAGAACCATTAATTCCCAGCTCTACCTTGAGAACTGGCTTAGAGCGCGTGTTGTAAGGAGACGGTGGCTCTGGCCGTATGTGTGTGGAAATGTAGACACGGTGCCATTTGCTACCCAGAAATTTGTTAGTCAAAGAGATCTGATCTTGTCGGCAACAGTAGACAGACTGTTTGCTAGCAAGCGCTCTGACACCCTGGAAAGCTCTGAAGGACCCGATTCTGCTTGTAAAGAGGCTCTGGGAAGACGCTCATTTCAGTTGGGGTTGGAAAGTCGGGTGTTTTCCGGAAGTGCTCAGGACTCCTGCGCTTCATGCAGTCCTACCTGAAGTTGCTGTTTCAGGTTTGAAAGTGTTAATGCTGTCTGCTCCAAGTCAGTTCTTGCTCCAGCAGAACCACTGCCCTTGCATCCCCATGCTCTTGGCCTGTGTTAAGCTTGGCGTCACAATCGCACATTTTATGATGACCTTAATTGGCCGTTGATAATACTTCTTTTGGCCGTTGATAATACTTCTTTTGACATCACCCAGGGTTGTTTTATAGTTGAACAGAGTCACATTGTCGTACTGGAATACTGGTTGTTGGTTTATTACCCAGCTACAGTGGAGGGTGACTGGAAATGCTGTTTGCAGAGAGCAGTTTATGCTTGGAGGGGACGCACGCTGAGAATACTGGGTTTGTTCTGTAATTCTCCTTCTGGATCTGGGGTCAAAAAGGATGCTGAGAATGCATTTGGAATATTTTGTTTTCAGATACCACAAGCTGGGAACTGGATTTAATCCCAACACCTTAGACAAACAGAAGGAGCGACAAAAGGGGCTCCCCAAGCAGATCTTTGAGTCTGACGAAGCTCCAGATGGCAACAGTTACCAGGATGAACAAGTAACGTACCTTTAAAACCTTGCTGCTTAAAACCTAATTTACAGTCGCATTTTAAAAGTACAGTCCCTTTCCCGTTATAAGTTGCTTTTGCTTTGTTGAATCTCAGGATGACCTGAAACGACGCTCCATGTCGATTGACGACACTCCCCGGGGCAGCTGGGCGTGCAGTATTTTTGATCTGAAGAACTCCCTCCCGGATGCCCTGCTCCCAAACCTGCTGGACCGAACCCCCAATGAAGAGATCGACCACCACAACGAGGACCAGAGGAAGTCCAGTAGGCATAAGGAGCTTTTTGCACTGCATCCAGCACCAGACGAGGTATTTTTCTATACGTGTGGGTGAGACTAAAATAGTGGAGGGTATAGGGAATGTGAAAATCATCAGTCTGCCACGGATTTAAAGGAGTTAAGCCCACCGATGTTTAATATCCGTGAGAACCTTAGCTGTTTTGCGAGCCACATGTTTTTTAGCATATTGTCTTGCCGAAGATTTTACTTCCTGAAAATTGGTTTTCCTTTATGGTTATGCAATCCTGTATTATGTAGAAACATCAAAGGGATTTAATTTAGCATATTTATAGCTGCTGATGAATGCAGCATGCTGGTAAGCCTCGGATTAGATTGATGCTAGTGTCTTAGAAAAAAAAAAGTGCTACATATGTTTGCTTTGTAATGGTGTTAGTGGTTTGTACGAGTGCCCTGTCTCTAAATTGCTGTTCCTGGGATGAGTTTCAGGAGGAGCCTATAGAACGACTTAGTGTCCCTGAAGTGCCCAAAGAACACTTTGGCCAAAGACTCCTGGTGAAGTGTTTGTCCCTTAAGTAAGTATCGCTCCAACAGACATCTGCTTTACAGAAACTGAGAATTTAAATCTGCCTGCTGTACCCACGTGCACCCTGAATTACTGCTGCCTTGTTTATTACCCTTGAAGGGACATAACATTGTTTGGTCGGTCGTAGGCTTCAAGGTTAGTGCTAGAAAGGAGAAGTTACACAGTGCTGTCCGTCAGGCAGTTTTGTCTTCAAGTCTTGCTTTAGCGGTGTGATGCAGGAAGTGTTCACCTTCCTTGGCTTTGCTCTGTGTTGCTTTTCAGCCGGTCTGTAGCTGTACCTGTTCCGTGATGCCGGCATGCGTGCTTCACTCTGCTCCTGCAGGGCCCTGAAGCTGGCCGGTCGCTGGTGTTCAGCTCTGTAACAAGAATGTTTAAGAGAGGGGGGAAAATAAAATTAAAAAAAAACATCAGACAGCTGAAGATTTGCTGAAGTTTAGGCTCAACAACCTTGAGTGTGTCCCTTTAAGAGTGAAGACTTTATATACTTAGCAAGCATTAACTGGAGGAATAGAAACCTGTTAAACAAGTTTAATGAAGTGGAGCTCCTGAATATAGGGTTACCTGCAGCTGGTTCATTGCCTATAACTCTTCTCTAATAACACAAGGTAAAATTTTACTGTTATTCCCTTGGAGAAATAAAGTACAAAACTGATTTTCCACACTGCTGTATTCATCTTCTGTGTCCTCAGTTAGGTCAACCCTTCTTATTAGAGAGCTCCAGTTAGACTACATTGCGGCTCATAACTGAGATATATGTGTGGGACATATCTCCTGCTCGTAGAGTGCTCCAGGACCTAATATAGCCGTAGAGATGAACTGATTTTTCAGCCTTTTATGAGCTGGAACAACATAATATGCAGTAGCAGTGGAGCTTCCTCTCCAAAGGATGGTGTCTTTAGCATAAATAAGTTAGGTGTTGGAAATTAATGATTTCTCCTATTTAAGCATCTCTTGCTAACTGTAAATTTATAGCAAATCTGCTCAAGTACGTGCTTGTTTGTGTCCCAAAATAATCTCTGAAGCTGTACTTACAGTTGTAATAACGAGCATCCAAGATCGTGCTGTCTTAGTGGCACCAAAAGGAGTACGTAGGCTCTTGCCCATGGAGAAGGCTAAGATGATCTAAGCAGGGTCATTTTCAGATTAATCTCAGCTTTGTTGCAAAACTAGAGAAAATACCTGTCTGATGATGCAGTTTTGTGCGGTGTTCTCCCCGTTGGCAGGAAGAGTTCCAGGCTGCGAGCTCTGTGCAAGGACAGGGTGCGTGGGGGTATCCCGCTGTGGATCGGGCATTAATTTCACGGGGAGGCCGTGCAGGCAGGAGAACGGCGTTCAAGTCCTTGCTTAGTTTGGCATAGGGACAGGTTTGGAATGTTTTTGAATTTCTTTAGCTTCCTGGGTGATTTAACAAGAAGTTTAGCTCTATTTGGGAGGCTAGTGTTTTCGTTGGAAGGGTTTCGGTTAGCATAAATACTTGATAGCAGTTACTCTGAACAGCTGACACCTTTCTGAGAGGTACTGGTGTTTTCTGACAAAGTTGAGAGTTGAAAATTGTCAAAACAGCTGTCCCTGACCCTCCAGAGGAAGGAGCTTTCTGGTCAGTAATGTTGAGAGGAGCGGTGCGCCACTTAGCCATATCAAGAGGTCAGCATAGTGCATCAGCACATAGGGCAGCTGCTCAAGGTCCGTTGAGAGGAGCTGTGAGCCATTTAGCCATATCAAGAGGTCAGCATAGTACATCAGCACATAGGGCAGCTGCTCAAGGTCATCAAAGGAGCGAAGTGGTCCAGCTATCCCAATTAATTCCTCTCCCCTTATGGAAGCTGTTAGGTTGCTTTGCTTAGCTTCCAAATGACACTTGAAGAAAGACAAAAGCATCTATAGAAGTATGCTTTATGTCCTGTGACCCTAATCCCAACCCTTCTGTTGGGTCAAAGGGTTGAAACAGCTTTTAGAAGGTCCGGGGAGCACCCACGTGTGCCCTGGTGGGAACGAGCAGAGGTGATGCAGAGGAAGCAGGACAGGAGAGGAGCAGGGGGCAGATGGGGAGCGAGACCTCCCTTCTCAGCAGCAGCAGGCCCGTAAGCTGGCTCAGCTGTTCCTGACATCTTGGCTCGACAGTGGTCATCTGTCACCTCACCGGGAAGGATTTGGGGAAGGGGTAAGTTAGTCTTTCGTACGAAATGCAAGTCAACTGATTTTATGTGTTTCTTTCTTTCAAGATTCGAAATAGAAATTGAGCCCATTTTTGCCAGTTTGGCTTTGTACGATGTTAAAGAAAAGAAAAAGGTAGGTTTTTAATTCCTTGAGTGATGACATTTCCACCGAAGCATTACAAACCTATATTTAAAAAAAAAAGGGAGGAATTAATTCTGGAAACAAACCTTTATGAAGTCAGTGACATACTAGTGGTTGGAAGAATGATGAACCATCTTGTGGGTTCTTTTTCTGCTTAGTAAAACAGTTGAAGTATAACCACTTTTCTAAAAATATTATCTAATATGTGAGTGCCTGAAATCAGAATATATATATTGTCTAATCTTGGCTTTCAGAAGTCTCTTCCCCAGAGAGAACTTAAGTAGCTGAAACCTTTTATTTAGATTAAGTTTTTATGAGTTTCTTCATCTCTTTGTCGTGATTCACCATGGTATGTGTCCAAGTAACATTTTAATAATGCACAAGAAAGTCATACGTGCCAGAATTGCTAAAATCAAAACAAAACTGAGGAATCTTTTCAAGACTGAAGTTACAGGAAATGCAAAATGCATTTATTCCCCTATTTATGTTCTGTATTTAATATTTGAAGAGTCTCCTAGTTTTCCTAATTCAAGGTATTAGCAGTAGTAGAGAGAAGAATGTTAAAAATATGCATTTTGACATTTATCTCTTCAGGACTTGAATTTAATACATGGAGTTTTAAGTTATGTAGATGAGACTATGTGGAATATTATGTGAACTTTGTTTAATATTTAAATCACATTTCATAAGCCAATTTTATCATCTCATTACCCCATTTTTTTTTCTCAACGTAGTAAGTTCTTTAGTGACCTCTGGTGTTGATATCCAGCTCGCATTCATTTTGGCTTTGAAGCCTTGATACAGTCGAGGATTTGGTGTTTGAGCGTAGAAAGCTCTCCGTCTGTCTGTTGAGATGTATTGTTTTTAATTTTTCTGTGAATGATACTAAAGATCATTTTCTATTTTGAGATGTTGATATTTTCAATTCAGATAGCAACTGTAATTCTTAGTCCTGTGATGGAACTTCATACCTTACAGGCGCTGGAGGAAATTTTATAGGTCGTGTGTATTGTTTGCTCCATTTCCTTTCTCCTTCCCCATTGTCCTGCCTTGATTTCTTCATGAAAAGGCCTTTTTGTATTTCTTTTTTATACATGGATTGAGAGGATGTACTGTTGGTAGGTTTTTTTAACTTGTGTTTTGAAATTGTCTGCTGTGTTTGTGAAGAGTTTACCAAAAATAAAAAGTATAACTAAGGCTTGAAGCTACCTAACTTCTTCCTTAGATTTCAGAAAATTTCTACTTTGATTTAAACTCTGAACAAATGAAGGGAATGCTTCGGCCTCATGTCCCCCCTGCTGCTATATCCACGCTGGCCAGATCTGCCATCTTTTCCATCACGTACCCCTCTCAAGATGTCTTTCTGGTAATAAAGGTAAGAAATGCCGGAGAAATTTAAATTGTTATTGTCGCTTGTTTTCTATGAAAAATAAAATATCAACAACTCTGGCTGACTAGCTGCCGCCTTACTTACATTTTGAGAGCAGAATTCTATTCTCAAAAGCATAAGCGCCGGCACCACAGAGTTTTGTTTCATTTCAGATATTCTCACTTAGTACGTGAAGTTCCTTTGTAAGAGAAACAGTGCAGTGGAGATACGCTTTGTCGTGTTACTGAGAAACTGAAAAGAGCACAAAGGTTTGCGTGATATAGAGCAGCTTGTGGGGGCTTGACCTTGGTTTTCATATGAACCAATGTGCTGACTCCTTAAGATGATAGAGAAGAGAGTGATTTAAAAATATATATATTGATCTGAATCTCGTTTCAAAAGTGATATATGCCCTGAAGCCAGATTTTCAAATGTCTTTAAGAATTGAAATTGCTAAGAGAGTGAGATCCATAACGGAAGTAAAATGCCACGTTGGTCACTCCTGGAATAAAGGATACAAAGATAAAAGTTGTTTTCTCTTATTTCATTTGGTTCAATGAGCGCACAGATGTTACTAGTTCAGATTGGCATTAGAATCATTTTATTGGGCTTGTCACTGCATAAAAATCCTCCTGTTGCAAAAGGGGGAGTTCAGTACATGCTTTCAGTTTCCAGGCAGGGGTTACGTTGCCTGCTGGCTCCGTGCTGTGTTTTGAGAACCCTGGTGGCTGAGGTTTGTGCAAGTTATTCATGAACTGCTTCTTACATGGGGAGTAACCTCTTGAAAAGAAATGAGGCTTTCTGGCATGACAGAACAGCCCCAGGTGAGAACAAGGCTTTCCATAGTGCTGCAGCGTATTCTGATCTCCAATTTTCGGTATGATTCTCTGAATTCCTTCTAAAAATCCTGTTCTGCCTGTGCACACAGATTCACTCTTCTGATTTTCACAAGATACAAGGAAGAGAGAACCCCAGATTTCTGAGACGGGGATCTGTCCCAAAGAGCTTGTGACTGCACGTTAGCGCTTGTAAAACCAGTGACCCGAGAGGAGCTGGTGGCGTAGCTGAATTTTTGACTTGATGATGAAAAGGATGTAGCCAGGGATAAGTAAGGCAGATGCACAGCGTGCCTTATTGGGTGAATTTTCACCTGGGTCTTACTCACTGGGAAACCACTTTTCAGACAGCTGGTGTTGCTCGCGTAAACTCACCAGGGAGCACAAGATTTGATGGAAAGTAGTTTTGTTCTTTATACTGTGGTAACCTCTTGGGGTTCTACTAATAGACAAATATGAATGGCGCTGCATAAGCATGGGAGAAGTTTAATGATATTCTGATCTAGTAACAGCACATGCACAGTCACGGGCGTGGGAGGGAGGGCCTGGATGCTTCTACAAGAAACAGCTTTCCCGCATGTGATAGGGGAGATATTTCTATTAGAAAGTGAGCATTAAGCAGTTTTCCAGAGGCATTGACTTACCTGGAGGCTTCAGAAGCAAACATCTCCTCTTTGGCCAATTTTAATTATTTGATTATTTGGTTTGAAAACACACTGATTTAAAATAGTGGTTGTTTTAGCTGGGCGCATCTGAGTGGCCTTTTTGTGCTGCTGCAAGAAGTCCTTAATATGGAGAACAGAAAGAAGAACAGAATTCTGAAAATGGTGATGCTGAAGACGGTGTACACTGTCTTCGAGACCTTAAAAATGAGCTGAAAGTGGCTCTAGAACAGATCAAACCAAAGTGAAGTGGTTTATGTTCCCTTTGAACCTATATTTTACACTTGTGATTCAGTTATAGCTGGAGATCTGGGAACTTAATGGTTCTAAAAACTTGAGTGCGGTGCTTGTTCCCTGGCTCACAAAGGGAAATCAAGCTTTAACTCTTTTGAAAGAATGTTTTTGCTTCCTTGTGTTTGTTTAATTTAACAATCCTTGCTGAACACATGTCCTTATAATGGCTCATTTTCCCTTCTCAGCTGGAAAAAGTATTACAGCAGGGAGATATTGGGGAGTGTGCAGAGCCTTATATGATTTTTAAAGAATCTGATGCAGCAAAGGTAAGAATTTTTTTGATGGTTTGATTAAATTTGGCTACAAGCACTTTGAGGCATTTTGTTGTTAACAAATTAAACAATGTCACAGTATTTTCTTTCACCTTGGAGCTAACAGCCATGGATACTGTTCCTGTTGTTAAAAGGATCCATTTTTAATTAAGAATCTAGTCAAATTCTAAAGGCCAGAGCAGAGTCAAAGACCTTTGAATCCTGATGCTTTATTGGGGTAGAGCAGTTAAAGGTCATCAGTTTTTTGTAGCTGACAGGGGAGACGTGTGGTTACCATCAAGCTCAGTCATCTATGATTCCCTGTCCCAAAGGATCAGCTGTGTGCTGGAGCTGGGTCAAGTGAAGGCAGCCTTTGATATGAATTTGCAGTAAAATTTCAACTTTTCCGTTGCTTCTGCAGCTTAACCCCATCACAGTACCTCTGCCTTCCTCTGGAAAGGTTATAAAATAGTGCGTGAAATACCTGAAGAGGAGATTCTCCATCAGACCTGGTTTTGAATTGCAGTGCATTTCTGGCTCTTTTTTTCTGCTGATTTTTGTTTTTCCTAATATTATAAAGAAGGGCCGCACTCAACAGCAGGGGAAAGCTGTCCTTTTTACCTATAGTAAGGGCAGATTTATATTTTTATTCTTCAGCATTTGTTTTTTTCCCATGAACAGTCTCCCTTTAATTTCCCACCTGCAGCAGTTTGGGCATCGTGCTCCAAAGTGCGGTGGATGGCGTGGACCTGCCCCGGTTTGGCTGATTCTTTCTCTTTCCCGCACGTGTTGAAGTGCAGCCGGTCTCCTTGCGGTAGAAGCCCTTTGCTCAGGACTCAAAGCAGAGGTTTCCCCATGCAGAACAGCTCCGTTTGATTCCCTGCAGTTGGCAGCTGGTTGTGGTGGAGCGTGTCAGAGCCAGGGTGGGAACTGCAGGCTTGGTAAGGCCAGGGAACAAACAGCAATGCTGGGAGCACCTGCAGAATCCAGCTGCACCTGGACTATGACGTTTCTGCAGTCTTTCCCCCCACCCCCAGACTGCGATTTGTTTTTCTCTGACATGGCGTGGCTGTAGAACAGCAAATCACTGATTTTATTGTTGCTTGAACAGAGTGTGTTATTTTACAACTCCAGTTCCTTGTACAAGAGAGCTTGAAAAGGAAACCTTGCATATGCAAGATGTGAAACAGCACTTTTGAGCCTCAGAAATGGTTCCTAATTCAACGTACAATTGGGTTGAGCCAAGTGAACATCAAAAGGTAAAAGTGAGGACTGGCTGAATGAAGAAAACCCAGAGGTACCACCCTGCCTGTGGTCAGGAGGCTTTCCATTAGGATTTTTTTTCAAAGGATCCGGGAAGCTCATTTGTTAGTTTCAATCAAACTCTTACAAAATTTTGTCTTCCTAAAGTTCTAATGTAGTTTTAACTGAAGAAGTTCACATTTTTTTGTCTGTCTCTGTCTTTATATCACTGCACCACAATATGAAATACGAGTATCTTCCACGTCAGGTGTATAGATAACAAAAGTGAAAAACTGCATTTCCTGGGGTCGAGAAGTTGACATGTGCCTAGGTGAAATTTTGGAGTTGAATTTGCAGGATACTTGGGAATGTAGGTGGAAAGGTGATTTTTCAAAGTCTCCTTCCCAGCAAGGTGAGTAAGCATGTCCTGAACTAGAAGAATGTGAGCAGCAGAGCTGTCTGTTGTTATCTGCCCTCCCCGTCTGGGGACTTCCTAAAGACCTGTAGGTAACAACCTTTCTAAAGCAAAAAAATTGCTATGTAATATGCAGAATTGTGGAACGCTCCTTGTTTATTCCTTTTTTTCCTCAATAAAATGAGCAGGATACTGCTTATTTGAGGAATGCTTTCAGCTTCCCGTGCAACTCCAGTTGATCGGAGCACCTGCTGCCTAAAATCACGTGAAGAGAGGCCATTTCAGACGTCGCAGAGTACAGTCCCGCTCTTCTCGGCAGGGCAGTGGGCAGAGGAGCTCGCGGGGGTTTGCTGGGCGGTTCGGGAGGCTGGAGAGCACGGTGCCAGCTGCTCCGACTGCCGGGCTGTCCCGCGGCCGGTACCCTTGGCCTGAACCGAAGCAGAAACCCGATTGCCTAGTGCTTGGTGACCCTCCTCTAGAAGGTGCTCCAAAAATCATCACAAGTTAGAAAAGATACCTTTGTTACTTACCGAAAACGAGCCTTTGTTCCTATTCCTCTCTTTTTGATCTCTTGGAGTGAATGTTTTCTTCACAGAATAAGGAGAAGTTGGAAAAACTGAAATGCCAGGCAGAACAGTTTTGCCAAAGACTGGGCAAGTATCGAATGCCTTTCGCCTGGACGGCCATTCATTTAATGAACATTGTGAGCAGCGCTGGAAGTTTGGAGAGAGACTCCACGGAAGTGGAAGTTGGCACAGGAGGTAGGGTGTCTGCCGTCGGCATGGCGGGGCGCGGGCAAAAGCATTTACCGAGTTCTTGAGTCGTGCCCTGTATCTGCTCCTTTTATCGCTTGCTTCCCCCTGCCCTAGGCCTTCTGATAGCCTTGGGTCATGGCTGAAATAAAACAGAAAAGTCCATGATAACAAATAGATTTATCTTTCAAGGATTTTACAAGCAAACCATCTGTCAGATTATTTAAAACCAGGCTGCTAAAACTGAGAGCAGGTTACAGGCTGATGAGCATTTTCCACAGGAGTGGATTAATCTTTGTGAACCACACAGCTCATCTGAAACTGCTCTTCAGCATCCCCAAAACTGCCAACTTCATCATCTTTCAGCTCAAGAGAAATACATAAATCTCCGCAGGAGAAAGACTTTTCTAATAGCAGGAAGGCGCTGGGGTGAGGTGGCTGCGAGCGGAGCAGCAGCAGTCAGCTCTGCTTCGTAGCCTCCTGATGCCTCGGGAGTGCGATCGTCGGAGCGTCACCACCTCTTCTGTCACATTGATGGCGCAGCTGCCGAGAGCAGCAGCTATCTTCTTGTGTAGAAAAACCCAGTGGGAACAAAAGTAGGCTCTTGGACAATTGTTTTTCTTCTTTGGTTTTAATTCCTCCCCCTTTTTATTTTTTGAAGAACGTAAAGGATCGTGGTCGGAGAGGCGGAATTCCAGTATTGTCGGGAGGCGTTCGTTAGAGAGAACCACGAGTGGGGACGAGGCTTGCAATCTGACCAGTTTTAGACCAGCTACTCTGACAGTGACAAACTTCTTTAAACAGGTATGGTATGAAGCTATCTAATGAAGGAATTGCTCCTTGGACAGAGCGATTTGGTCAGGTGAAGTCAGTTCCGACCTGAATAATTAATTTGTGATGCTTGCAACGCGTGTAATGTCTGCTCCCTGGTCGCAGGGTGTCTCTGCACACATGCAGTGGGTTTCTTGTACCGTGCGCTTACTTCTGCCAGCAGTTTGCTGTGAATAATTACGTTATGGAATTTGAAATTATTAGCTGGTTTTGACTTGGACAATAAAGTGTCATTATGGCATAGTGAGTTAACTGCTCTGACTAATGGAACCGGGTCTGCCCAGGAGAATATCAGTTTATTTTGCTCCAGATCTTTCTAAAATGCACTGGAAAAATCACTGGTCAACATATTTAGAAAAATGCTCATAGAAGCAAAACTGAGGGTAACGTCTTCAGGTTAGTGTGTGACAAAACCTATTCCAGATACTCGTCCTAGGCTGGGGGTTGTGTAGCCTTTATCGTGGTGGTCAGTTGACTCCTCTGGTTTCACTGGGTGACAGAGAATCAATCCCCTTGAAACCTCAGCGGGCTCAGAACCAGGTTCACCAGTGTGATTTGAGGTTGGCATCTGTTCCCTGGGCACGTCCTGGGGTGCCTGAGAAAACAAAGCTTTTCACTTCTGATGCTGCTTTACTGCGTGGCAGCTCTTCTTAGCCAGAGCTTGGGGTTTTCCTGAGAAGCAGTAGAAAACATGACTAAACAGAATAAAATTTTTAGTTAAGCTTAGAAAATGGTTTCAGTTCATTAAGTTTTGCTAAGATTTGCTTAATGCCACATCTAGTTCCAGAAAATTGTTATTTGAATGTCACCTTTGTGTATAAAAAGGAATTTAATAGTAACCAGCAATTTTTTGGACTGATTTCTCAATTATTGGGAATATGCAGACTTAGATATTATATAATGAAAGTTGGTTAAGCTCTTTTTTTTTTTTTCCTGATTGTTTTGGTTGCGTGCCACTTTCACTGTGGGTAGCCATCCAAAGTCTGCTCTTAAATACAGTAAGGTAAATAAGGAGGGATGTCATCAAGGGCATGAAGTTGTCGTGGTGCCAACCACGTAAGGGGAGGGTGACTCCTGCCGCTGGTGCTCTGTGCTTCCATGAAGCTCACTGTGCCTGTCACTGGGCTCTGGGAATGGCATCTCCGGGGCCTCAGTGGCACACAGCAGCGCAGGGAGTTCCGTTTCCTTGGGGTGTTCATAAAATCCAGTTCTGTGACATACTCACCCAAGATGTAGGAAGTAAGACAAAAAAACATATTCCAGCACTGCTAATGCAGCCATTCCACTGGCCGTGTTCTGCAGCCGTCTTTGTGATACACACCAGTTCCTGAAGTTAGTAATGATTTACAAAAGCGTGTAGTTATTTACTTTGTCAAGGTTGTTTTGGGCTGACAGCTTTGAAGCAGCTTGTTTTATAAATTTATCCTTTAAAAATTGCCAAGCATTGTTTTAAGATTTGAAGTTTCTAATTCTTCTGCATCTTTTTATTTTTTGTCTTCCTTTCCTTTTCTCCCATTGAATACAATTAATTGAATACTACCCAGCGTTTTTCTCCTTCCATTGGCTTCTTTTTTCATATTGTGATTTATTACCTGTATTGTCAGATATCTTCTGCTTTTGGGTAGTTAGAGGGTGGCAGAGTCACATTTTATAGAACGTTTCCAAAATTAATGAAGTTCTGAGCTACTAGAATGTAGCACAAGGAAGACTGACGACAGACTCCTTCCCCTTCCCACCGTTTCTTAACACTTCTCCTGAGAAGTCAGACTCTTTTAGGCTCATACCAAAGGAAAGGCAGAGGGGGAGGAATCAGGTTCACTACCTGAATGACGGATACTTTTTCAAACTATTATACTTGCTAAAAATTGGATATTTTGGGGAAATCTTCTAACAGCCATTCTCAGTTTTGAAAAAGATAATATTAATGGGGAGAGAAAAGGTTTTCAATGAGAAGTTCTTGCAGCTGTCATGATGATTAATAAGGAAAAAAGGAAGGGAGAAGGATGGAGAAATGAACTGTAATTTAGCATGTTAATCTTAACACCTTGTTCTGGGAAGGCGCATTTTGATATCAGAGGGAAGAGGCTGTAGTATTAGATGGTGAGTTCGTTCTCTTGCACTCCTGAAGGGTTGTGTAGATAACCGTTTTCTTCCCACCACCCAACAGGAGGGCGATCGCCTGAGCGATGAAGATCTGTACAAGTTCCTTGCCGACATGAGGCGGCCATCATCGGTGTTACGGAGATTGAGACCGATCACAGGTATTGAACGAGATCTTTTTGGCTGTTGTGTGTTAAGGTGTTTGGTTAGTCCTTCCCAACTGCCACCCAGTTCTTACGAGTGAGCAGATTAAAAAAAAGCCAAGAAGTCATTGCACAAACTGGAGCATAGGAAGTTCCAACTGAAGATAAGGAAGAACTTCACCCTGAGGGTGATGGAGCCCTGGCCACGGCGCCCGAGGGAGTCTGTGGAGTCTCCTTCTCTGGAGATATTCAAGACCCGCCTGGACACGGTGCTGTGCAGCCTGCTCTGGGTGACCCTGCCTCGGCAGGGGGGGCGGACTAGATGACCCATAGAGGTCCCTTCCAACCCCGACCATTCTGTGATTCTGTGATTCTGTGACAGCCATCCCTGGTAGACCACGAGCACTAGAGATGGCATTCTGGCAGGTTTTTCACTGGCATGTGTGCACACGCAGCTCCTGTCACACGGAGAGCAGCGTCTGGGAGAAGAGGACGCAAAGCCCACAGCCCTAAACCCGGCAGGGGCTGAGGAACCTGTGTGTTCCTGAGTAAAATACCTCTCTCTAGCTGAGAGGAGATCTCCCTCCCGGCTCCCACTTGGTTAACAGGAACAGACTCCACCTCTGTTTGAGAAAGGGAGATACAAACGCTGGCACACCAGCAGTGAAACAGCACTGGTCTCTGACCTGTGCTATTCCTGACAATATTTACTTAACCTGTTCTTAAAAATCTCCAGTGACAGCAATCCTACCGCTGCCTTAGATCGTCTCTCCCAGCACTCGGCTGTCCTTGTAGTGAGGTTAGGTATTAAAAAAAACTTTGCAAAAGTATCTCGCTGCAAATTAATCTGATTATGGTCTGTCATGCCCTCAGGGCAGTTATCACAACCTTTCAAGTACTTGAATACTATTATTAGTTCACTCTTATTCACCTCTGTCTTTTAGCCTAACCAATCTCAATTTTTTTTTTCAATCCTTTCAACCCTTCCTCAAATGTTGTGATTTTAAAATTGCCTGTTACTCTCTGCTAGAGTTTCTTTAATCCGTCCATGCTTTTCTTCAAGCACGGTGCTCTGAACTGCAGATGCTGCTCCTCCTAAGACCTCGTGCCAAGCAAAGCAGACAGATTTGTCTCCAGTGTCTCACATGTGACACTGGCCTAACGTATCTTAGAATGGTTGTAGCTTTCTTCTGGACATTGACTTATTGTCACTGCTGTCACCCAGCCCTTTTCTACAGAATTGATCCCAGCCAATTTTTTTTTTTTTTTTTTTAATGTTTGTATGTTTGGCTGCTTCTTAATGCAAAGTCCTTTGCTCTTTCTCGTAGAATCATAGAATGGTTTGGATTGGAAGGGACCTTAAAGATCATCTAGTTCCAAACCCCTTGCATATTTCACTTGAGTTATTTGATACCATTTCTCCAGCTCTCCTCTCTTCCAAATTTTTACATTAATTCCAACCTCATCCACCAACAAGAAGCGTGCTGTCAGTAGTGTCAGCTGACTTGCGAAGGAAAATATTCAGTGGTCTTGGTGTACATTAGCTTTCAGCAGCTCCTGATCTATCCTTCTGGTTTGATAGGCAAGATTTCTGATGAGACTTTGAATATTGTTTTTAACAGTAGTTGGCCTCACAGTAGCATTATTATGGTATTTCCCCAACTTGCCTGTGGGAACAGCATCTGGGACTTGTTAAGCTATGTCTTTTCTGTTGGTCTTATTACCTGGTACCCCGCTTGCCCTAGATATCACTTTGATTCACTGTTACTTGTTTTTAACGAGTCCACATTGGCTGTGATTTATCATTTATTTATGAAATTAGTATAAAGGATATCAGCCTGAAGAAACAAAGCGTGAATATGCTTCTTGATTTTAAATTAACTTCTATTTATTGGAAAAATCATTTTCTTCTTACAGCTCAATTAAAGATAGACATATCTCCAGCTCCAGAGAATCCCCACTACTGTCTAACTCCAGAGCTGCTGCAAGTCAAGCTTTACCCAGACAGCAGAGTTAGACCTACAAGAGAAATCCTGGAGTTTCCTGCCAGGGATGTCTACGTTCCAAATACCACATACAGGTTAGAATTTTGAAATACATTTCACATTTCAGGGCCTGAGACTGGCAAGTCTAGAAATTCCAACCTTATCATCTGGTTTGTTGCAAAACTTGCTGTATCAGTAGGTCTGCTGTGCCAGAGGCACGAAAAGGGGCCAGACTGACACAGCAGAAAATACACGGTTGTGAAAGGGCAAACATATTTGCATAAAACTTGGCTGTGAACAAGGACATGAGAGAGGTTTCTCCTTTCCCCAAAATTCACAGTGAAGTTTAGTTCAATTCTCTCCAGTTTTATGTAGGTTTTTTTCTTTGTGTGCAAAAGTCATAGTTTTCTTCATGTTTTTATTATTTTCTGACACTTTCAGTGACTTTTTTTCTTTAAAGTGGGGGATAAAAATGAAGAAAGCACGTAATCCCTTTGTTCCTATTTCCATTTTGATTTAAAAGCAATTTCTTTACTTACAATGCTTGAAAAAAAAATCTTCTGAAGATCTGGAAGATAAGATTTTTTTTCTAAAGTACCTTGGAAAACAATAACCTGTCTATAACTAAGCCCAGGCAGGGAGCAGATTTCTTGTCATTACGTACCACTATTCATGTAAAGCTTTTTCACAGGGTCTTTGAAGACATTATGCCTCTGAATGGAATTGTCTTCTTCAGTTGAGTGTTTTCACCAACTTACTCACCAAGTCAGTTACTTCTTGTTATAAAAGTTAGATGAATACAAACCAGCTTTTTATAAATCAAAGCTTATAAGAAAGAGTTTAGTCAAGTTCCATACCTCATGTATTTTCAAAAGTTTGCTTATTTATTTATTTAGATTGGACAGGTAATTAAACATTACAATGCACCAGTACAAATCAGCAGCGCTGTGTGATCTCTGCTTTCCAATAAATCCATGAGGAGTAAAAACATTTTTGCAGTTTCACTATAATTAGCACATTCTGTTCACTCTGACAAAATAAAATTTTAAACTATTTTCTGTATGGTTGCAAATGTTGAGATAAAAAAATATGTACTATACAAGGATTAGGGAAAATAATAATACAAGTCAATATGACTCAACATAACTGCAGAATTGGGGTCTTTGTCAGTCAACGCTTCCACGGCCGGCCATCCCCAAATGTGTTACTCGTCCTTCTCCCTCACAGTGTTCTGCAGCTGAAGTTAAAACCAAGGTGAACGTGTTCTCAGGAGCAGGACCAACACCGTCATGTGGGTTGTGCCTGCTGGGTCTGTTGGTTGGTACCGTTGACTCCATTAGAGTTGCCCCCACAGGCGAGTGGTGTCTGTTTGAAAGGCGTTTTGTCATCTGCTCACTTGGCCTTTCAGTTAATTTCTCAGTGAGTTGTGCTAAAAGGTCGCGAAGGGATGGCTCTGAATCCATTTCAAAAGATAAGATCTCTGATTTGTTTCAGTAAGCTTTGAGGCTTAGCTCTTAAGTTATTCTTCGAAGTGTGGTATCTGTAAGATTAGGTCTGTGCTGTGGCTTACGTGACGCGTGCGTACACATCTGTAGCTGCAGGAGTACAGCGCTTCGGCGGAGCCTGGCCTGAGCTACGCTGCTGACAATTTGTCTGGAAATACGCAGAACCCTAAAGTGGGGAATTACCCATCTTTCATTCGCTCACAGATGCATTCCACAACAATGACATGAACAAACATCAAGTTAGTTACTTTATGAAACAAAATTTCCTTTTTTCCCTATATATACCTAAATGTTTTCCATACCATTTTGCCAGCCCTTCGTTTACTGAAACACTTTCTGTATTCCCTACTACACAACCCAGAAAGGAATGCAACAGCCTGAAAACCCATTCCCCCACGCGATACGACCTAACACATGAGTAGCCAGCTGGTTCCTTGGCATTGGGAGTTTCATCCTTGGGAGGTAAAAGCTCCACAGAAGTTACAGCACATGGACATTGGGGCTAGAATACTCACCAGATGTACTGTAAGACCATCGCTGACGCCTCAGGTTTGTGTATTGGAGAATACACCACGTAGTGTTTGGATATAGATATACATCTGTTACTAAACAGAACATGAACCTCTTTGTAGTAATGTTCAGTATGTATGGTCTGAGTTAAAGTGCATCAGGTTGAGCATTCAGTCAAAACTTTTTAAATCTGTTGGGTGTACCATTATTTTGGTTGACTTGAGCAAGTAGTACCTTCCTTTCTTAGGCTTCCAGTATAAGCCTTTTCTTCTGTCTAGTCTTCCTCTCGACCTCGGTGTGACGTATTTCCCGTTAAGATTGGTTTCCTCACATTCACTGTGCCACCAACCTCCTAAGGAAAAATATTGTCAAGTCAGTCACTGTCAGCTGAACCCCAACGTCCTGCGCTCAGTTTCCAAGCAGACGGCTCCTGTTCACAACGCGAATCTTCTGTAGACCGGTTCCAGCAAAAGTGACAATTCCCCAGTGTACCTGAATGAAACAGTGCTTGTATGTGTACCCGCTTACGCTTGCAAGTAGAGGGCTGATACAAAGAAGTTGTGCTCCCCGTTATTGTCTGCTTCACATAAAAGTCGTGGTGCAGAAAAAACTGCACACACAAATGCTGCCGCTGGAGCAGGTCACTTACAAAGTTAGCTCCACACTTACATGTTTCCCGTGACCCTCTACAGCTCACTTTCTGATACACTGATATTTTTCTCAGGTACAGGTAGTTAAATGTCTGCATCTACAGGAGGCTGAAGAGCCTTTGGTAAACAAATTCTCTGCTTTACTGGCTGATGTCCTTAACCATCAGCTGAAATTGTAAGTGCAGTTCTGCTGGCAAAGGGCTGGCAGTGAGTCTGCTAAAAAATGAAAGTTTAGCACTTTGGAAGTCGTTGGCCATCTGCTTCATGGTCACTAGAGCTGAGTAACGCTCTCAGCATTGGTTCAGGCATTAACAATTTTCAAGCCTAGAATGACCTACAAAATGTTTATTGCATGAAGCAGGTGTCTGGAGGGCAACTCTCCATCCTGTGGTTTAATCATTAATCGCTTTTCAGTTGCTTGCTTTTTTGCTACGAACTGAAACATAAAAGCTTCAGAAGATCAAAGAATTAGGAACCCGTTAGCCAAATTTTCTTAAAGGAGAAACATGTCTTCAACCTCGTATCTCTCGTGCTCTTTTGAGAGTGATTATATCACATATACTTAAATGGCTAAAATCTGCCTTTGAATGGAAACTCATCATCATTCTTAACTTTTGGTTTGTAGTCAAAATGGAGTTAAGAGTCCATTTGTCTTCTGTTTTTTTGCAAGGAGGGATTAAACAATCCGACCCCAGGCTGCCACACTGGAGCAGCCATCAGAGGAAGAACTGCCCTTTACTCCATAGCTCAGAATCTCATCCTGGGGTTTTGTTGCAACCAGTGCTGCTAGTTCTGTTTCTGACGTTGGTCATTCACACAGCCTCACTATGCTTTAGCTTTACCTGTCTATAAGATAGAAAGATGGTCCCCTGCTGTTGTAGGACCCTGCTATCTGCCAACAAAAAACATCTTCTGCCCTTTACTGCAAGCAGAAAGATGCGGCTATCCTCTTTTCTGTGTCTAAATTCAGGCTAATATCAGTAACTCCCCGCTAAAGCATCCTACTATCACATAACAAAGGCACTGCCACGTTTAGATACCCGGCGTACTGATACCTAGGTAGTTTTCTGGACAGTTGAAGTCATTTATTACGTCCCCGTCGCGGTCTGCAGTGGAGAACCGCAGCTCTGTCTGCTCCGGCAGCGCGTTGGGGATGCTCCCGGAGATCCGTGAAAGCTGGAGAGCGTAGTCCGTTGCCAGGCCTCCCAAGCTGAATGCGTACTCGATGTAACGTTTGTTATCCTTCCAGTCCTGCAGCTCAATCCGCAAGATGTAATCCCCTTGCCTAGTAATGGCGTAGGTCTTGTTCAGGCCTAGCCAGAATTCCTCTGCAAAGTCAAAGGAGATAGGTGTAGTTAATGTGAAACTCAGCGTGAGCACACTTGACCATGTTTTTCAGATCCGTAACCCGTACCTCAGATAGCTCATTCACCTTTAAAATAGAACTCTTTGAAAATAAGCGTTCAAACAAGCTGCGCAAGGTCAGAATCGGGAGTGTCAGAGGCGAGGATGAGGGGACAGAAGTCACCAGGCAGAGAGTTAGTGGGCAAGGGGTTATGTGATAAACTTTCCCTAAAAGCCTGTATCGCTCACGCTGCTATGGAATTTGTTTTTACAGATAACCTGTGGGTAGTATGTGTGAAAATACACTATTTAAAAGGATTTGTTCATTGCTTTAATTAAATCAATAATAGGAGTCTTGGGGACTGTTGATCTTTTCAGAGGTCTCCTGCTACATTCTTTTTGTTTTGCTCTTCTTAATTGCACACTGGTGATCAATAAAAGCAAGAGATATAAATGAAGTGGAGCTTCTCTCTTAACTTTTACCTCTTGTGAAACTCTGAGAGGGAGCTCAAGACATTTAAAACATGCGGAATTGGAACTGTGTGACAAATGAAGCAAATGACATACATAAAACCTAATTGCAATTGTTGTATTTTTTAAGGAAAGAGCTGCAGAACTCAGCTGAGGTTTCGATACCCTTGTGCACAAAGTGAATTTAACCTGAGCATTCTTCTTTTGCTAGAATTCTTGATAATTAGTTTGTGTTTAATAAATCAGATTCATTAAGTAGCTTATTATCAGTGCACAATAGGCAATCGCCACATGTAGACGTAGTGTAGCTGATTGGGAGTGCCGTGCATGAAGGTGGCATTTAAAGCAATGGAAGACAAGATGGTGGAGTAAAATACTCCCACAATTTACAGGGAAGGAGCATGAGCCTGTTATATTTTATCACCTTAGAATATGCAGCATGGAACTGAGTAGGACATAGCTGAGAGTGGTGCGATCTGTCTGGCACTGGAGAGATGTGGCTTCATGCTGGTGTAGCATGTGGGAGTTGGAGACCAATTAAGGGGCAACCGTAGCGTTCAATAGGATCGAACTACGCAGGTGAAGGTCTACCTCAGTTGTGAGCTGCTGTGCCAA